TTTGTATGCTACTGGATACTTGAATTTCCCTCGGGATAAATAAAGTATCTATCTATCTATCTATCTATCTATCTATCTATCTATCTATCTATCTATCTATCTATCTATCTACTTAATGTCAACATAACTTGACTACTTTCTGTTACTTTTGTATTACCTCAACAACTAATATGTGTATAAATAATATGTAAATAAAAACATGAGAAAATAAATATCAGAAGTATTGATTCTAGTGTTTTCTGTAAGACGACAGAACAATGGAATCTTAGAAAAGAAGAAAAAAAAAAAAAAAAAAAAATTAGTCCTTTGTGTGAGTGTATTTTTATTTTTTGTAGGAAAAATGTATGTATTTTAAAATTTTAATGCTGCTAATCCTTTTACTAAATGTAACTAAAATCTGATAACATATTTTTGTCTGTAGCTGTAATGGATTACAGTTACCTTTTTCTGTGTCCTGATGTCGTAGCTCAGTTACATGTAATCCATTACTCTCCAAGCCTGCTCACATGAACACTAAACCTCTCAAAGTTACAAATGTTATTATTTTACAAGAGATTTGAAACCAAGCTCTCAGTGGCTTAAAACTCTGGTAAACATCTGGACTATTTGATTAAATGGTGAGGTATAAGACTCATGCAGTCTTGGGTTTGAATATTTTGAGTGTAAACATCATACAGCTTGAATAAAGAGGCGATACAGGATATATCTATGGTACTGTCAGACCTTAGAGGTCCCACAGGGGGAAATAAAAGGGGGGAACTGCATGTTAGGGGGTTAATGTAGTTGTTTTAGGTGTAATAGTGTGTGAATTGCTGTTCCAGTAGCTGGATTATGTTATTTCCTACAAACTCAACCATAAATCATGAAAGCATCAGAGGCTCGGTGCAGTTCGCAGAGTAGGAGGACGGCTGTGGTCCATTGACTGAGCAGAGGAGTGAGCTAACCCACATGTGTGAGTACAACCCCTTTCTCCTCTGTGTGTGTGTGTGTGTGTATATGTGCGCGTGTGTCAGGCTTGGATGGGCCTGGTTGAGCTGAGTAGATGTGACCAGCCTAAGTGTGTGTGTCTCATATCAGTGTGTCCTCGATCGCTCTCACTGTATGGGGCACTTTAGCCCATTCTTCACTGGCACCGGGAGGCACGCACACAGACACACACATACAGTACACCTGCACACATGTACACACTGACTCAGTGTTTTGATGTAAACTCAAGTGGACGAGGGGTCCAGTCAGCCACTCCGCCAGTCTTTCTACCCTCCTCTCTTTTTCCCTTCGTCTTTCTTTGCTCTCCCTCCCCGTGAAACTTTTAACGGCATGTCACGCAACCCTCGCACGCGCACACATACACACACACACACACAGACACACACACACCATGCCGTGCTCTCAGCCAAAGCGCTGCACCTTTGTCAGGGGAGAACCACTTAAGCACGCTCATATACACACACATATTCACGCACATTCATGTCTGATTTCTCTCTCTGCACACATACACACACACACACACAAGCCTTCACCACTTAAGCCGTCTTCCTTTCACCATCTCGTGCCCTCGTCCTCCTCTCTGTGTCTTGTCTGGTCTCGTGTGTGCGTGACTGTGGCTGGCTTTGGCGAGGGTGAATTAGCACAGCGACCCAGTTTGGTGCCAGAAGAGACGAGACGTCAGTAGAGGATATATTGAAGAGCTCCATTTTTTTTATTTACCCCCCCTGCTCCTTCCGCTGCAAATCCACTCTGTGCTCTAGCTGCCGTGATGTAATGGGAGCTAAAGTATGTGGTGAAAACATCACCTCCAGCTGAGGATTATCATAAACAGAATGAACTCTATTTTTGGACACTTTTTCCCCCGCCATTAACAGATCGTATCTCTATAACCTCAGATAACTTACATCAGCGTGTTGCATTCAAATCGGCCTTAAAACTTGGAGAAAATCAGCTCCATAAACAAAAACGTGACTCAAGGTGATTTTTCCTTCCTTTATGGGCTATGCTTTGCATGTCTATGCTGATGCTAATTGCCTGCAACTAATTATAGAAAGTCTGGAAGTGGCCCTCTGAACTGGACCCACACACACACACACACACACACACACATACACACACCACTTCCTACGCTTTTAAACACATTTTGACAAGGAGCTCTCGCTGCGTCGAACCAAGAGGGTGTTCGCCGCCGGCCTCAGATTGGTGAGACACAACAGAGATTTGTGAGTGTGTGTGTGTGTAGGTGTTTGGAGGAGGAAGAGGGGGATGAGGAGGTGGAGGACAGAGGGAGGGGGGTGCGAGCGATCCGGTGTTGCGTGTCTCGTTCGGCTCGTTTAGCTGACAAACTGCTTTTAGCGTTTAATTATCCATCGCTCTGTGATTAATAGGTTTTAATTACTGTAACCCATGGCAACCTGAAATATGCACAGGTCTCCGCACGAGGTCAGCCTCTCAAAACCCCGTGAAAGAATCAAAAAAGACAAAAACAAACAGAATGTGGTTTAAAAAAGGGAAAACAAGAGAGGATCTTTGCATCTCAGACTTGTTATTCATCATCGCTTCAGCTCAGACGCACACGGCTATTTTCTCAGTACTTAACGCACCTACTTGAGAAAAAGTGTTAGACCTCAGAAAAAAGCTTTTGACCAGACCTTGAACTTCTTTGCTTCATTTAGTCTATTTTTTGAAGTGATCTACAGCCGGAGCTTCAAACAGACTTTTTGATTCACTCAAAAGGTTAGAACCTTTCCAAATTCATGTGTTGCTTTGGAGGCTCTTTACATTCTGCTGACGCTCTGAGCTCAGAGGGAAAGTTTCAGATCGTTTCATAAACGGGCAACTCTGATGCTTACATGATTTTTTTGTGAGAAAATAATTTTTCCAAGTAGAAAAGAGGCTGCTGGAGTTGATGGAGCCAAAATAAGCAAAGAAAAGTGTTTTCCAGCCTCCTCAGCGGAACACATTTTCAGATGCATTCGCACCTGTGAATCGTCTGGACCAAAGAATAACTTGATTCAATGCTGCCTTTTACTTCTGGACCGGTAAGTGCTCACACTGGCTTTTTACAGCCAACCCACAGGTGTAAATATGAAGTCATATGGACCAACAGAAGACTCCCTCTGGTCCGTTATGCCTCTCAGGTTCTCATGTTTTTGTGAGTGAATAATGTAAATAAGATTTTTGGAAAATGGCCCAATGCGGACTAACCTCCTGTTCTATTTCCACTTTTAATTTCCATCTGGACCATTAACAGTAATTAACAGTAACACAGCAGACTCACTTAAGACTTTCTCTTTTTTTTGAAGGTAGGGTTATACTGTACCAGAAGCAAAGCGGAAGGGAAAAATGCTCCTTTCCCATTTCTGCTCAATGTCAGTCAGGAGCTGTTCACACCACTTGCAGAAAACTTTTGGCGACAAGTCTATTTTGGAAATGCTGCAGATGGTCACATCTACATATTCTTTTAATAGGCTAATAGATGAGAAGATGAATTTTCTGCAAGCTAAAATAAATTCTACTTGAATTTTTGTATGTATGGCTAAATTAATGTTACAGTTAAAGAACTGTGGTCAATTTGCTGGAGAGTGCAGCTCTGCTCCACTGAGGCCACAGAGCTAACACAGAGTGTCCCATTAATGCTATTAATGCTATTCTAGGCACCTGTCCTGTATTGTCAAGAAAAAATAATTTCTGAGTAGGAACCCTGATAAATCATGCCCACTGATGGTATAATCTGAATACAGACGTTATCCAGGTCTCTCTTGTAAATGAGATTACCTTCAAGATACTTTACAGTGACATAAAATCATCAGCACTGTGTGGACCCATGAGGGAAAATCTCCCTGTTCTTGATGCATTAAAGGAAATGGGAGCATTTCAATAATTTCCGTTATGCTAAATGTCTGGTTAAAGCATTGTCATACCACACAGCTACCAACTGTCGAGTTCAAACTAAACACGCACCTAGGTTTACGTAGACGATCTGAGTGAGGGGCTAAATTATTAATATCATATCAGGGTGACGACTGATCGGACAATGTTGGACAGAGTCTGTTCCAGTCTGGTTTATGCCGACAGCTGGGAGATAAAATCATGGTGTGTGCGTTTTTTTTGTTGTTTTTTTTTGAGTGGTTTGGGGCATCTTATGCCTTTATTTGAGAGTGGACAGTAGAGAGATGACAGAAAATGAGGGGAGAGGGAGACACAAACTGAGGAAGCGGCGATATTGGTGGTTAGATCTTTAAACCCAGAGACAAAAGCCAACGAGATATAAAAACTGCGATGAGCTGAATGAGGCAGTAGCAGGTTTTAGAGCGGAGCCACAGCTCAGCTGAAGTTCGTCTCGCTCTGATTAAGTTCACTAACCTCCTGCTCTCTCTGAAGAGTTTACATTGTGTGTTCCCCTCAGCTCTCCATCCATCTCATACCTCATACTGATTCATGCAGTAGAGATTAGCAGGGCGAGCTCTGTGTAATGAATGTCTGATTTCATTTTGGTACAGGAACACAGCAGGATCCATGCTCAGTTAGGTTTACGCTAGTCTCCAGGTCTGTCCCCAGCTTTGCAAACAGGATGAAAAGGAGGTGTCTCGTACCGTAATATCACAGTGAGGGGAGTGTGGGCTGATACTGTCTGGTCCCTACGTTTCACTTGCTTTTTAATGAAGAACAGCCAAAATACTTCTCCTTTTCACAAATAACAGATCCCCTTACACACCACAAACTGTTACCGAATGATCCTGCCAAATTACGTAGATATTTTGATATACTGTATATATACTGAATCACTTCCTTGACAGCTCCCACAATCAGCACATGGATTTAGTATTTAACTGTAGTTTTTGAATTAAGCTAAAGTCACATGGACTGTTGCACAATCCTGTGATTGGCCTTCTTTGTGTTCCCCCCACAAACAACCCACACCAGAATTGTCTTGTCTCCGACTGGTCCCTTGGTCTGCACCAGTTAGAATCAGTGTTCAAACCAGCCTAAACAAACCAAAGTCAACTTACCCACGCAGGAGTCTCTGTGTTCTTCGAACCCAGCGGAGCACACACACCTCCCGATGGGCACCAGCCACTCCCCCTCAGCGCTGCAGTACATCTTGGGCGTGTCCCTCTCCTCTGCGTGATCCACACACTGACCCCTGACCTCCACCAGCGAGGAGGAATCGGCGCCTGTCACCACATCGGTGAACACCGCCAGGTTACGGCTCACGCCCACGCAGCGTTTGTAGTACACCCGCACAGAGGTGAGGGCGATGCAGGCGCCGATGTCCTGGAAGGCCAGGTAGAACCCTCGTCTGGTCAGGGGGCCCACCCCTCGCACCTGTGAGGAGAGAGGAGGGTTTGACACACTGTTTTTGACAGTGACAACAAATATAAAATAGGCTTTATCACTAATGTGAGTGTGTGCTTGTCTGAGTCTGTTTCCACTTGTTGGGGTGCACTCTCTTTACTGTGGTGGGGCAGCATCAGGTTGGATGTGGCAAAAGGGGGTCAAACAACACAGACGGCACAGATGCGTGCCGGCACAAAGTCAGTAGTTCAAACACAGTCACACTGTAAATTTTCATCAGGTGGTTATCTTTTTACACTGGGTTAGTATATAACAGACTCCATTTGCAATGAAGTGGGTGGTGTGGCTCAGCTGTACCTTTCTTTACGTACTTTGAAACACACATAACATAACACAAAATTTGCCACTAGATGTCGCACAACATTTCAGCCCAAACTAAATAGGCGCTACGACCAACCAGACTTTATTAATAAAACCATTTTTGTTAGTCTCCAATGTCTATCAATCACCAATGCTTGTTTGGTCAAAATAAACCCTTAATTCAGTTAGATGTAAAAATATTTAGGAATAGAGCTGCTATGGTGGCTGCAATGCAGGCTAATCCTTGGGGACAAATATGCCTGTCAATGTACATCCACTAAAACCTTGTTGTTTTGCTGCTGCGATAGCAACACAGGCAAAGGGAGTGTGATGTCATTCTCTGCTCAGGACACCATGACTGCACTATATCTTTACATAACAAACAGTTGTTTGCTGCTATAATAATTACTTAATTCTAATACATATAACATTTAAACACTGCACAGCCATTTTGGTACTTGGAATTGCACTGCTATAAGACTTGCTACAGGCAATTTACTTTTTAGAAGTTTGGAAAGTTCTCTCACTTCTTCATACTAAAAGCTCAAACTGTGGCTGCCACAGTGGTTCCTGAACAAAACAGGTGGAACAGTGTGAACGCAGCCTTAATCTAATCTCTGGACTGGTGTTTGGTGTTGTGCTTTGGCAACAGTCATTAATCAACTGCTCCGCTTCCAACAGCCAAATGGAAACATGGATGTTTTTACATTTTTATATGCTTGTTTTTCATAACATAACAACATCAGCATATCATGACACAGCTGACTACCGGTTAACAGCCAGGAGGTGATTCAAAAGATGATTTAAGAAGTTTTTTATTAACATGTAATATGGTCACAAATGAGTGTATAAGAACCAGTCTAGTTGTTTCTAATTGACTTTTTCTAACAACTACATGTATGTGATAACCATGGTATAAAGGCTGTTTATTGGACTGTATTGTACTCTTTTTCATAATGTGCAATAATATGCAAATTAATTTGTTTTAGACACTCACTGGGCCTGAGGGTTAGGGTTAGATTGCTGTGTGTTGTGTTCACTCTGACATTAAGGTCCGTCCTGTTTTCAGCCCCTTGTACTGACATTCCACAAGAGGCAGAAAGGAAAGAAACAGGCCGATCTTTCGTGAGGATTTGCTTAGAACTAAAATACTGTTTCTCAGACTGCATATGATGGATTTTATCCTGAATGTGAAAGAGAAGATCATGCAGTGTGTTTCCATGCTTTTAAAGGAACAATCTCTACATGCTCAAACAACAATTAGTGCCTTTGTTTACAAACTGATTTGATGGATTGAATAGATTTTTCAGCATGAAACTGACTCAGTTTCCGAATACACCAACAGTGTGTGCTAATTAGACAGCTAATTATGAGTTTTGCTGATCTTTCTGGTGTATGGGGATATTTTTGTTGGGATTAAACATATGTTGTGTAATCACAATCAACAGTTGTCATTTAAGTTGCCTCAGGCGTTTTCTTCCCTACTGCACTGAGTGCTAACATCTGTCAGTTACAGGCACACACTCTTTTGACGCAATGTTTCCTCGGAAATTGTATACATTAGTGTTGGGAGATTGGACGAATATCGGCTGTCGGCAGTCCATCACTGATTGTTTTTTGGGTGATTTTTGTAGTTTTATTTTGCTAATTTAATGGTCTGCGTTGAACGAGTGAGAGGAAAATAGACATAGCTTGGGGCAATTGCAAAAAAAATACTGATTGTTCAACTGACAGAAGCCGGCTGGAAAATTTTAACATATTGCCCACCCTATCATACATATTTGTTAGAATTCATTGTTCTTTAATGACCTGGTGGTGATATTGGTTAAAAAAGTAAAAGAATATTACAGCTGTCAAGTAAAGGTGCGGTACAGGTGAATATCTAATCTGACAGACGCTGAATTAAATGTCCAGATCCTTCTTGCATAGTTTTTTAACTGAGAGGACAATCATCTATTTGCAGGGACCAGAGGAAAAAGATTGAAAAAAATTAGAGAGAGATAATTTGAAATAAAACATATGCAAGGTAAGATAAGGTTAATGTCAGCCTCAAAGATGTATGAATGGATGAATGTAGGTAAACATGCTACAAGTTGATCATTTGAAGTTAAATGAAATACAAAATAACAGTTCAAAAGCAACACCCTCCCACCCTAACATGTAGGTTTCCATTAGAAAAGCAGAACAACCTCAAGACTACTATATAGTGGTCGGGGCATGATTATATGTGTGGACAGCTGCAGCCAAAACCTTGTGTTTGTTTTCAGGCTGGCTGCGATTTTCTGTATTGATTGGGCTCAATGCAATACAGAAAAACGGAAGGCTACAAGTAGCAATGCAACTTAAAGTGTTATTTCTAAAACTCAATTGAAAGTCAGTGACAGCGGATGCTTTAACTTGATTTCGCTTTAACCACAAATGTCTGCACACACCTTCAGCTGTGTGTTTGAGCATGGAACGGAGACTCAGTTAGTATCAGTGGGATCACTTGTGTTTACCCTACTATTTCATGTCAGAATGGCTGCTGTAAAAAAAAAGTTAATTCTTTCCAGGTTTGGCTCAACATCTGCTAGGTTTAAATACGGAAGTGCGGGTGTATATTTTGAATGCTTGAAGAGCTTGACAGCATTTTAGGAATAGGTCCAGCTTTACATTATGTAAACACAACAGTCCATTTCAGATTGGATTACTTGGCAAGTATTTCATGGCGTGTGTGTGTGTGTGGTTGAGCAAGAGAGACCAAAGTATTACTTAAAAAAATTCAGCTTTAAAGAATGAGGTTGGTGATATTCTATATTTCTGTTTACAAATCTCATGAAAAGAACCCAAACCAACACTGATTGTATCTACTAACAAGTATTGTGTGTGTGTGTGAGCTCCATTGTTGTCCAAAAAAATTAAAAACACATCAGTGAGCCACACTGTTGCACTGGGTGACATGTTCCTTCATTGCCATGAACACACAAACTATAGTTTAATTTGACTCAATCCTACATATACCTTAACATTCATCAGCACAACAAATGTGCTATTTCCTCCTGTTTGAGTAATGTTTGCTAAAAACTACACTAAGTAAGGAAATTACCCAGCATTTTTCAAAAATGAACCTTTTTTTTCCAGGTTGTGACAGTAGCAAATAGTATCTCAGCCAAATCACTATTCATTAGGTGAAAGATACTTGTTTTATATTTATTTATTTTTAAAAGATTATTTTGGGGGGCTTTTTGCCTTTATTCAATACAAACTGCTGAAGAGAGGCAGGAGAGAGAGGATGACATGCAGCAAAGGGCCCCACGCTGGAATTGAACCTAAGCCACAGAGGTGAGGAATTGGCCCTAGTGCATGGTACACAGTCTCCACCAGATGAGCTACCAGGGTTCCCCACTTGTTTTATACTTAAATGTTCTATAGTTGAATTAATAAATTAAGCAGTGCAGACAGCAGCCACTGTGAAGCAATATATTTTGTAGCACTGTCAGAATGTTCTCGCGTTGGCACTACTAACGGTAGGAGCAAAAGATTAAGGCAAAGGGTGAATGGAAAAGCCAACAAAACCACAACCTAACTTACATTTTTGTGTTTCCCACAGGTAACTCAGGATTAATGTGTCGCAAATGGAAAGACTGTACAATGAATTATACCGTGTCGTTCATATCTTCATCTTTCTAACAATGTAAGGTATCAATAAAAGAGTAGCTCCACTACCCAGTATCAAATTTGAAGCTGTTATCAATATCAAAGTATTTCCCATGATACTGAACTGAGCCCTGCTGTTTGTTTTCTTTTACAGATCTGCAGAAGCGAGCACAGAACCGCCTGAGAGACGAGACTGGAAGAGGCTCTCGAGGGCCGGGGATGTTTCCAACTCGTCTTGAACTCCTGTGGAGGTGTACGTGCCCAGAATTGGAATAAACTTCCAATCCAAAGTGAGATATTGCTTCAAAGAGCCTGGACTGACATTTAACTGTCATATCAGTCAGTATTTGGGTTGTTGTTTAGTGCTGTTGCTCATACCTCAGTGTTGAGTTTAAGCCTGCGGACCCCCAGGTCCACCCCCGTGAAGCTCTCATCAGCAGCGATGGTGTCAATCTTATTAAACTGGTTCTCCCGTATAGCCGAGCCCACCGCTCTGTCCGACTCGTAGTAGTACAGGTTGAAGGTTTCCTGTAGAACAAACAAGGTAGTGTGAGTGCTGTACGTGAGTACAAAATGAGTAATGCAGTATGACAGTTTACTGTTAGTGTGTGTATACCCAATTTAATAAAGCAGAGGCTTAATGCAGCCTGGAAGCAATACAGATGGTCCTGGGCCGTGAATGTTTTCCAGGGTTCCCACTCTTTTTAGAAATCATTTTGAAGGATCTTTTTATTGACAGAACAGAACAGCAAATGGTCATATCATTTACCAGTAGGCCTAGTATTGACTTCTTTTTTAATGATGCAGGGTTCATGGTGAAGTGTCTCAGGTCTATGTGGGACACTAAGCCCAGAATCATTTAGGCTTTTAAATTAACTTTAAATTTCCCCTCAGAGTCTCTGACTGACCAGCAGATCAATTGAGCAAAACTTATTACTGGGGAATTATCGCTGTCTATCATAGGTCCATCCTAACATTATCGTGGGGGTTGTGTGTGTTGTGATTCATTCGGTCGAGTCAGCGCAGTGAGCAAGCTGGACAGTTAACTATCTTATGGACTGTGGACATAAAGGTGTTCCTGAGGAGTAAATGTTGGCTCTACAGGATGATTGTTTTCCTGGGCAACAATCATGTTTTCCCAAAATGATGTACAGATTTATAGACATTCTATTATCTCAAAAGGCCTGAAAACTAGTGCATAAAGCTGCTGTAAAAGGGCAAAAAATCTCCCAGAACCCCCCATAGGTCTGGGCTAAGCCCCGAATGTTTACAGTGTCTGGCTCCTGTTTGTCAGATGTTGAAAAGGTGTAAATGCATCCGACTCTCCAAGAAGCATATACTGTATGTAATGGTGGAGCTATGTCAATGAGCAACCTGTTGAAGTGGCCACTGAGAAGGTCTTACCCCTGTGATAATGGCAGTTGAAGTTCTACTGAATAAACAAATATCAAATCAAATGTTACAGCATATATTTGATCAGTGCAACCATCAAATGATCTGTATGAGTGAGGAAGTGGCATGAGCCTGTGGGAATGAGCAAAACCTTTGTCTCACTCGTATTCTACCACACCTGTTTGTGTTTTATAGTTTATAATGGCTTAACAACAAAAATGGAACGAGCTGTAGTCTCATTCTCTTACACATTCTCCCGCTGGTTCCCTCCCCCAGCTCCTCCGCCCTCTGCTCTCTGTCTGAGTGTGTTACCTTGCAGGTGCCCAGTACTCCAGGCATGCTGTTGCAGTCTCTCAGGGTGAACTTGACCTCGATGTAGATCCTCCTCGCTCCCTCTCGAGGGATCCAGACCGTCCTCAGCCAGTTGTTCTGGCTGGGGCTCATCACGTTACAGACCTGATTCAGAGTAAGTGTTAGGATCAGCAACTCTAGCAGCAACATGCATCCCCAATGAAAACAAACATTATGCGCTTTAAAGGAACTATGAGTGGTGGATTTTTCCTCATTTCTCCTCCACTTTTGGGTTTTTGGTTTTAAAGATTTCATTTGTCATTTGGAAGGCTGTCTCTGACCACACTGAGGTCAAGTCTTCTGTATGTTTGGGCGGGAATTTGCTGCTTTCTCCTACAGTGAAATACCACCAATTATTGAATACTTTATGGGCTCATTCTAGTTGGAGGTTTTTTGTGTGTCTCAAATCATTTAAATGTAATCACTTTTAAATGAATCCCTAGAGAGTCTTATTGGGGAAAGCTTTGAAGTCACATTAAGATCTAATTATCCACAGTTTGTGTTAAAATAATAATTTAATTATTATTCTTAGTATGAATTGGTAATTAATCGATTGATTAATGGTTTTGTCTAAAAATGTTTGAAAACTGTAAAATGCCCATTACAGTGAAGTCTTCAAATTTCTATAAGATCCCACTGTCAAAGGCACTGAATTGACTACACTCAGAAAAAGGATATATATGAAAATTAGAGAAGGTGAAACCACTGAGTATTCTGCTATTTTTGCTTTAAAATGTCTAAATATATCATCAGAATGGTTGCAGATGTATTTTATGTCTATCGACTAGTCCAGAGGTTTCAAACAGTCTCAGGGGCTCAGTGAATGGAGGTGGAAAAATATTACATTGGTTATCAAAAGGACTGACCTAAAATATGTGTGATTTGATTAGACACAGTTCAGTAGTAGTTTGGGGGGGATTTTACAGTTTTTCCCACTTTCCATTAGTCAGAACCTAATAGGATAGACCGTTTCCATGTATTTGGTGTAATATGAAGTTACCTCAAACAGCAATGATAATAACAACAATAACAATAACAATAACAATAATAATAATAAATCAACTGTAATTATACAGCACTTTTAAAACAAAGTTACAAAGCGCCTTACATGGCTGGAACCAGGATTAAAAACATTCCAGGAGGCAATCAGGAAAAATAAAGTCAGAGAAATAAAATCATATAGAAGTGAGGTAAAATTAAAAGAATAAAATACCCCCATCAGTAAAACTAAGTACCAATAAAGTAAACCAGTAATCACTAAAGCAGATAAAACATATTGTAAAACTATCCGCACTGGGGCTGATTAAAAGATACAAGAGCACAAAATACCTATCGCTAATAAGATAAGAAAAGATAAGATATTCCTTTATTTATTTATTTAATATATGGTAAAAGCAATAATACTTATTTAATAGATAAGACATGATGGGAAATTAAACTAAGATTAAGAAGTGATTTAAAAGATGTCACTGATTCAGCAAGCCTTAGACCCTCGGGCGTTCCAGAGCAGAGGGGCTCTGACTGCGAAAGCAAGGTCGCCTTTGGTCCTGAGCCTGGACTCAGGAACAGCCAGCAGGGTCCTGCTCGAGGATCTGAGGCTGCGGCCCGGCTCATAGCAGTGCAAAAATTCATCAATGTAGCTAGGAGCTAAACTGTGAAGTGCTTTATAGGTGATCAATAAAATCTTAACATCCTCCTAAAACTGACTGGTAACCAGTGAAGAGAGGCTGAAATAGGGCTGATATTGATATCAATATCATATTAGGCTATCTTGGCTTAATTGTTGCGTGCCAATGGGATAAAATAATCACAGCATATAATAAAGCATAATCCCATAGGCATCCAGGAATTGAGCTAAACTAAGCACTAAACTCCAAGACTCTGAAACCCCTGGACTAGTCTATTAATCAACTATATAGACAATATAATATAACAGTAAACAAATAAACAGTTTTCAAAGACTCATTTTTGTGTGTGCTCAAAATTATGTGGTGAGGGGCCTTGGACTCATGCCCTCAGTATTCCCAGCTATTGCCCTTGCTACAGTATGTGATATAATTATACTGGATGGCAAAGAGAGCAGCAAAAATGAGTGAATGAACACCAGCGCTGAATCCCAGGACTTGAGATGGGATTTCTGGTCAAATACACTCCCTGCAACCTGCAGACCACCGTCTCACAGCCCCAACCAACACTGCAAATACTGAAGCATAACATTGAAAAATGACCAAATAAAGTTGTCTCAACTTTTGAGCACTAGCAGGAATTGTTGCATAATCTTTATTTTCATTATTTAATGAAAGCATATAATCTAACAACCATACAGTAATATAAATAACTGGTGATGAATTATCCACAGTTTGTTTTGTAAAATCAAACCCAATTAATGTTTAAAAAAAAAACACAGTTTCCCTGGGATCAAAGTGATATATTCCACTGAAGTTCTTATAATAATTAATTCTAATAAAACACTCCACTCCAGCACACACTGAGAACATTACACACCTGGTACGTGTGGATAGGACTGAAGTACTCGTCCATCTCATTAATGGCGTCCCACTGTGCAGAGAGAGAGAGAGAGAGAGAGAGAGAGAGAGAGAGGGAAACATTGGTGGGTCAGTCACATGTTCACGTTTTTCAGATTCATATGCAGCAAATCATTCGCCTGCTGCCTATATTTCCCACGTGATCGTCCGTGCCTACGTGTCTCCCAAACCACATCGGAGGATTATTAGCTTCGACTTCAAATGAAACATGTGACGACTCCTGTCACACAGGAGGCAGTCATGCCAGCGCGGCAGCTGTATGGTATGCTATATTTGAATCTCTCAGAAGACAAACAGTATGGTTTAAGTTTTAAGATGACTGGTGGCGATTTCAAACCTCATTATCTATATGTCGATATATATATATGACTTGGAGTGATGCACACTATGACAGAGATTGTACAGTTGCATGAGGTTCAGAATTCACATTCACTTTCTCATATTCTGTATCTAAAAGCTTAATTTTAAAAATCTCACTGTTAAACTGGTTTTAAATATGCTGATGTATTCCGCTCCGGCGTTTGGCGAGCGACGTTTAGCGCATGCAATCATGTGTTCTACATTTCAGAATGGAATGCGCTTAATGTAATTCCAACAGGACACATTTCGCTTTAATGAGATGCCTCTCGTGTATGTGATTAGATTTACATTGTTTACTGAATGGCGCCTGCAGCCAATGATAGAATCACAGGGAGGAACAGTGAGTTCAATGTGTTGGTATTTCTAAATGTGTTAATGCGTTAGTGTGTTACACCTCTCTGCACCTTACGACTGTACATCCAGCACCAGGAGGAAACTCAATCACAGGAAGCTGTGTGTATTGTGAGCTGATATAACCCCTACCTATCTGCAGATGGGAGGAGAGAAATGCCAGAAAATGCCCAGATTTCATGCAGTAGGATGCACAGGAAGATTACATTCAAAATCCAGATTTCTTCGAATGCATCAGTGTGTACAGTATGTACACAGACACACCTTTGCAGTGTAGGACAGATCTCAGCACCACTCAACACACCAGTCAGTCAGTGTTCACAAACAGAACGAGTGTAAAGAAGGTATTTACATATGCATATTCATTTTGCAAAGACACACTTGAAACCATATAGTGAGTCACTGTAACTGTCAGGTCCTGGATAAACAGTCAATCTGACTGACTTTAGTGGGGTTTAAGTCAGTCAGGGAGCTAATTGGATATGTCCATGCTACATTTTGTTCTGAACCCTCCTAATGCTCTTTGTTTTTGGGATTGGGTCTGTAAAGGTCAAAGATCAAAGCCTTTTCATAATAACTCTAGCTAAAGGGAGTTCCAACAGATTATTTCTGTGTTTGCTCAAAGACCAGTGTTTGAGATGATTTCTGTCCCAAGGTTTTAGCCGTGCTCTGGGGCTGGCAGTGTCTGTCTGTCTCTTAGTCCACCACTGGTCCAGACTGAAACATTCACAGTCCCGAGAGGATGTATCCTACTGACTTTGATTCTCAAAAACACTGTTTTGAATTTTGTGTTTAAACCCACAACAGCTAGATAGCAAGTACAGATTTCAATGTTCTGGTTGCATGAAGAAAGTGGTATGTTCTTTATATTATGACAGTGTTACTAAAATGTATTTAAAAATCGCAAATTATATCACCTTGCTTACAGTAACACAATATATCGCAATATACTGAATTGTAACCCCTGTAAATATCATATTGGCAGATTCTTACTAATACGCAGCCCTATATGTAACATAATGTAACGTAACATAACATGATGTACTTCTTTTGATCCAAACGTGATATTTTCTTAAACCTAACCAAGTAATTTTGATGCCTAACCTAGTAGGCTATTTTATTATTAACTTAACCAAACTGTGACCATTCCCATTAACCACATGTTTAATGTTACATCACGACTTAGGTAACACACTTAAGGTCTGGTGCACCTAAATAATATGTCATTTAAGGGGTCATTGGTAATCAACCTATTCGGCCATTTATGTACAAGGACGCGTTGGACTTCTCTGTAGCACCATTAGGTTGACATTTCTAGTTTTGAGTAAGAAGTCTCACCAGCTATGGGAAGGATTGCCATAAAATTTGGTTCACGGTCAAATGTAATAAAAAAAATTTAATATTTTTTTTTATCCAGAACCATTATCAGGTCAAAATTGAGCAATTCTTTATGTTTATGTCCAAATACCAGTAAAACTAACAAAGTTCTCATGGCTAATAATGTACAAAAATCTCAGAATAAGAACCAGGTTAAAACAGTGTAATTTCTTTTTAAGCACATGTTAGAATCCAACCTGTCAAAGTTATGCTGCTTCACTCCTCTACAGCTTATTGCCACACATAAACACTTTATATCTTCAACTCATGGGTTTCATTGTCAGAGCAAATCCAGTTGCACAGTTATATGGTGCACCAGAAGTAACCCACCACAGCTCAGTCATAGAGGAAATAAGGATGTTCTGTCAACTGGTTTATTCATGGTAACATGGAGACTCAATCGAAGGGTGTCAAAAGTTCATGCAAACAGCTTAACGCAAACTGCAGGGGCTCGAAGGGATTTTGAGAGCAGCTTTTTTCCTTCTCTGCTCCTGTTGAAACTGAATATTTGCATGTGACATAAAGCAAAGGCCAGTCAGTAATAATAATAATAATAAGCAATAGGATGTCAGTTAACAAAAGAAACAAAGATTTATTTGATACAAGGGAAAGCAGATTGTCACAGTAGTGCTTTCATGGTTGCAACTGTCATCCATCCAGTCCCACTGGTTCATGACATTGAACCCAAAATCTGCTGCACAGTGAGCACTGGGTGAATGTAACTGTGTAAATGGGGCTGACCTTTCCTGGGGGGCCTACCAAACCCCTTATTTTTGCACAACTTATTAGACACTTTGAAACAGGAAATGTTTAAAAACAGACACCGACAGACAGCTAACTTTACAACACAAGTACAGACACTGACACACAGAAACCTTTATAAACAGCCATAAATGTTCTTCTGCCGACTGTAAAAGCACCAACAGACTTTTTGTACTTAGCTGTACTCCTGTTACTGTGAATGGTAGTAAGTTTATCTCTCTGGCAGGTGTTACCTCCCACATCACACACTCCATAGTCACATGGCCACACCCCCTATTTGATTCTCACTACTGCGTTTTTAAAGTTTGGTGGGTGGGAGGGAGGTAGCAGAATTTAGGGGTTTCATAAATCATTGGCCACACCTATGTTTACCCTACTATTTCATGTCAAAACCACTGCTGTGAAAAAGGTCTATTCCACAACCTACAAACTAATCAAGTGATGTACTCAAAGATGAGAGCGAGCAGTTGGTCACTCCAAATTACATTTGATTGGAAAACGTTAAACTCTCCCCAAGGCAGCATTCTACCCAGGGCCCCAAACCCACTGCGACTGGCCCTGTGTGTTAATGTAAACAGGCCAATGCAGGAAGAGAGAATGGTACTCACTGCCCAAATAATAAAGAAACAATAATGAAAGAGAAATATCTCAGTGGACGTAAACAGAAACAGTGGCTCAATGACTTCCTCCTCCTCTTCTCCCAATCTCCCTCCTTCAGATGAGCTGTACTGAGGATTAGATCCAACACTGGTGCTCTTCAATCATGCTCACAACACATTTCAACCTTCAACAATATACTCCATTGATTATGTTGTTGTAAACATCGACAATTTGTATGCAGGTATGAATGAAGATGTGCATGTGTGTTTAACCCCAGCGTTACCCATGATCCTCTTGGGCTGCGAATCCCAGCGCGAGTGGCAGAGTAATTGAAAGGGAAAGTGTCAACCCCGGGAAGCTTTGGGCCGTGCCCAGCTGAACTCGGCCTCGGATGAGACGATGGGGCTTTGCATGGCAGCCCTCCAACTCCTCTCCTCAGCCCCGACTCCCCCTAACCCTCCCCCCTCACGCACGCTCCCCAAGGCGCCACCAGCCAAAAACCACTGGGATAATTAAGATGTAGGAAGTCTCACCCATCTCACCCTTCCCTCCCTTCCTCATCCTCTCATCTTTATCAGCTAAATTGAAACCGTCCTTGAACTTGTGAAGACCTCGGCTAATTAGCGGGGTGTATAACCTCTCTATCTCCCTCATTATTCCCGTCTTGCCATTGCCGCACTCTCAACCTCTCCTGCTCTTTTTCTTTTCCTGGGAAATCTTAGATTTTTTCTCCTCGCATATTCTCCGGGAGTGAAAAATCACAGCCGCTGAAGGCAGATTGTCAGGAGGTTGGGAGCTGTACGGCAAGCAGGGAGGCGACGAGATTGGTTGCTGTTTAGTAAAATAGCAGACAGCCAGGGAGAAGAAGAAGAAGAGTCAGAGAGATTCAGAGGGGCATGTTTATCTTCTGAGAACGCGATAAGAAGAGTTCTGTATCGTGACGACAACAAAAACGCAGTGCTCCACAGAGCGGCCCACTGACAATGCAGTGCGAGCGTGTGTGTATGTCAGACAGAGAGAGAGAGGGGAAACGACAACATAGAGAGCAAGAGTAAGAGAGGGAGAGGGAGAGATTAATTGGCTGTAAATTGCACATCTGTTTCCTGCCTGTCAACTCATCGGATCTCTCATCAGCAGAAATCAAACGTGGCAGACAGAGAGCACACACACATTAACATTGTACACATAATACAAATACACTGCAGGTACACACAAGTGTAGGAAAATAAAATGTCTGTCAACTCTTTTTCATGGCATTCGTCAAACACTGGAGGTTTCAATCAACTCCAACTCCATTCAGACAAAAACTGTGATAAAAAAGCTTGCAAGGAATTGCGAGAGACATATTTAAAGGAAGTTGCACCCTCGCCTTCCAAGCGCAATGGAGAAAAACTAAGGTGGCCACGAAAAACGCAAACGGCCCTACCTAGAGCCAGAGTTGGGTTTGTCCATTCTGGGCTACTGTAGAAAGCTGGTGGTTCAACATGGTGGAACGAATGCGGCCTGTTGTTGCTGTTGGTTGAGGCTGTGACTGTGCCGGTAAAAGTTCACAAAAGCTGAACT